AGGATCTCATGTTGCTGGATTTGTCCCAGAGGCAAAGGTATGACTTACTTGCTTTTGACTTTCGCAGTGTTTCTACAGTGAATTAATTTCACAAACTCAATGGTTTTGCTATCTTTCTCCTTCCTTTTTCTTGTAAGTAGGGTGTTCCAGCCAGTGTTCAGATCTTCTCTTGTGACAAGGATGCACAAAACCAAGTTGTTGCCCGCAGGAGCTTTTTTCGCTGTTCAACTGTTCAGTTTCACTGGAACAAGGGGTCTACTGGACTTCTTATTGTTTCCCAAGCTGATGTGGATAAAACCAACCAGAGTTACTACGGTGAAACCAAGTTGCACTACTTGACAACTGATAGGGCCTTTGAAGGAATTGTTCCTCTCAGTAAGTTCTTAGTTTTTGAAATTCTTCACAAGGCTATTTTTTAAAGTCTGGTCACTAATTCTATCAGCAATTTGCAGAAAAGGAGGGGCCAGTGCATGATGTTCAGTGGTCTTCTTCAGGTTCAGAGTTTGCTGTGGTCTATGGATGTATCCTTACATAGTTCTTACATGAACCATAATATTTCAGATTTAATGTCTTGCTGTTTTCTGCACAAGTGTTCCTTGACTGAAACTCAGTTATGCCGGCCAAAGCAACAATATTCAACAAGAAATGCAATCCTCTTCATGAGCTTGGTGAAGGCCCTTATAATACGATAAGATGGAACCCCAAAGGGCGATGTATCCTTGCAATGATTTGATCAGCTAGTCGTGCTGTGTTCTATGGTTTGAGTGTGTGTGTGTGTGTGTGTATGCACACCCTTTGTTATAGTATGGTTATTAGCATAGCAATATGCGTCTAGCAAATTATTAATGTTTGTTATTGATTGCTTTCATGTAAGAAAAAAAAATCATGTTTAGCTTGGTGATATCCTTAACCCAAGTTTCTCCACCAGTTATTGTTATAGCTGGATTTGGTAATTTGCCTGGTGATATGGTATGCCATTCCGCCAAATTTTGTATTAGGCAATAGCCTTAACAGTTCGAATGAGTAAACATTCTGACTGGGGAAGTCTTATGTGGTTTAAGAGAACCTATGACAAACTATAAAGCAAAAAAGGGCATCTTTTAATATTTCTATGATAAACTATAAAGCAAAAAAGGGCATCTTTTAATATTTCTTCAAGTGGTTGCCACATAGCTCACAGGGTATTTTTTGTCCAGGCTTTCTGGGATTATTCAGAAAAGAAGTTGATACAGAAAGCAAAGGCTGAATGGTCTGTCATAAGTGAATGGTCCCCTGATGGTCGCCATTTTATGACTGCTACAACAGCTCCAAGGCTTCAAATAGATAATAGGTACTCCCTCCGTCCGAAAATACTTGTCATCAAAATGGATAAAAATGGATGTATCTAGAACTAATATATGTCTAGATACATCCATTTTTATTCATTTTGATGACAAGTATTTCCGGACGGAGGGAGTACATTTCCTGCAGCTTTAGCATGCTAGCGGAAATGGTTTAGGATCCTTGCATGATTATCTTATATTTCCTGGTGCAGAATAAAAATATTTGACCACACTGGATCTCTGCAGTTTATAAAGGAATTTGAAAAACTGTATCAGGTATGTCGACAGCATATAACCACTTCTCTGTAATCTGTACCCCTTGTTGGTCCTAAACAATTAGTAACATGTTGAAGAAATAAATATGCCAGCCCTCACATTGCGCTCATGATTGTTGCTTTTCAATTGTGCAGGTTGACTGGAAACCGGAATCTCCTGAAAGATTTGGTGACATTGCTGAGCTCACGATATCTTTGAATGGCATAAAAATTGAAGAAACAAAGAAGCAAGGTTCCAGTATTATCTTATGCTCCATGCTAGCAAGTCTGGACAAATTATTTTCTCCTATTGACTTGTCTAGTTTCAGGACAAGGTTCTAAATCGGCACAAACATCAGGCAAGGCTCCTGTAAATGTAGCAACAAAACCTGCAGGAGCATACCGTCCACCTCAATCAAAGCACACTGCAGCGCTTCAAGACAAGGTAAATATGAAAGATACATCAGATTCTAGTTATCCTGAAATGCTGGGCTTGCTATCATAAACTATAGAACGAATCGCATCTGTTATACGCATCACTGACCCTGTGCTGATCAAATATTGATATTTTTGGGGAATCAAATCTTGACTTCATTTGCTCGCTTGCCACTTTATACATACTGAAGGGTACGGTGCTGTCTGAGCACACTTTGCAGACTTCCTCATAAGAATTGGGGTCTTTGCTATGTGGACTAGAAATGTCGAAAGAACAGAAAAAACATGATGCCAAAAAATCATATGAATAATCATGATGGGCATCCTAGGATGAATCCATTCTTCAAAGCGATCTTGCTAATTGTACCAGTAAATGAATAGGTATCAGGTTAATAAAACCCGAACTGTTTCCGCCTTCCTCTCGAACTAAGCTATTTCTGGTCGCTCCTGAAGTCCTGCAATGCAGCACACTGCATGTGCATAATGTTGTGGTCAAACAATAATAGCCTAGTCTTTGAGAGCAGATATATATTATGGGAAGATGTCCCACCAACTCATTTATTACCTAGAGAAACGAGTCGACATTTGGCATTTGTTTGTTTATTCCTGCAGAGTATTTTTAGTATACTACTCCCTCCGTCCCATAATATAAGACGTTTCTGCAAGCTATATTAGGTTGCAAAAACGTCTTACATTATGGGACGGAGTAGTATAAAAGAGTATACCATTGCTGCATGCATCTACAGGTTAGATTACCAGCATGTGCAATGACATTATGCATTCTACGGCATTTTACTGAAATAATACTGTTTGCTGGTTCATGATTTTGTATCGTAACCTGATTACAGCACTAATGGATACCGTCAGGTTAGATTACCAGCATGTGCAATGACATTACGCATTCTACGACATTTCACTGAAGCAACACTGTTTGCTGGTTCATGATTTTGTATCGTAACCTGATTACACCGTTAATGGATACCGTCAGATCTTGTTTGTTTTGGTTGCTCTGTAATCCCATAACACGGTATTAGACCAGCCTGGTACAAATTTGTTACGGGTCGAAATCGTCCATAATGAAAAGCCGCTATAGCCCCCCCACCCCCCTCGCTTTCTCCTCTGCGATTTACTCTGGTTAAAGCGTCGCTGTCGCGGTGCCACCGCCACCAGCCGTCGACAACCCGTCATTGCAGGCGCCGCCGTCGCTGCTGCAAGCTGTAGGCCTCGCTACAATTCGACATCTCCCCCAAGATACGAACGATGTGTCCTCCTAACTCGCTCCCCATGCGCGGTAGGGAAGCTACATTGGTGTCCCCTGTGTACCTTCCTTCTCGGCTTGGACCTGGACACCGTGCTTCCAGCCGGTGGTTACATCGTCCTCGGCTGATACATACCAAACTCTGGTATTCATTAATGTTACAGCATAGGAAGCCAAACGAAATATGATCTTTGCCCATACTGTTTATGTTACATTTGCGTTTGCGTTACCAATCTGGAACCAAAGACTTCCTTAGTTAATTATTATTTTGTACTCCGTATGTTATACTACCTGCAGCACTCTGTTTTTAGTTCAAGTGAGTGAGAAAGCTCTCATTGCTCTTATATCATATACTGACTTTCTACATTATTTGGTTGAATCGCAGCTTTTCGGTGGCCTTGCTCCTACCGGGTCAGTTTCTTCATCACGGCCTGCATTTTCTTGTTTTTATCTTATGCCGCTTTTGGCTCTATGCATAAACTCACCAACCTTGGAAATGAAACAGAGGGGAGATGAGCAAAACTGCATTGAGAAATAAGAAGCGGAGGGAGAAGCAGAAGGAGAAGAAGGCTGGGGAAGGCTCTTCCGCTGATGACAGCTGATCCACTAGCTTGTTTTGGCATTTTTCGCTGCTGAGTGAAATTCATAGTGACGAATAGTTCCTTCATTTGGGGAAAAAATGACTATTTATCTTGTGAATGTGAAATGACGCTTTCCAGTTACACTGTAATACTATGTGAGACTCGAGACAGAGTATTGCACAAGAATGACCATAGAATTTTACTTTACTTTTGGCGCTGAACGCACCGACAGTTTGTCTAACTACATCACAGAAAACAGTGGAGCTATTTTATTTTGTTTATGAGATGCATGTATTTATATTAAGCTAAAGAGAAGTGCCGCCACATGACACAGAAAGAAGTAAACGATCACATTGCCCCCCTGAGCTTTAAAACTGGCTATTTCATTCCCTGGAGTTTGCAAAACTAGATAAAGCACACCCTGAGAGCTTTGATCTGCTCCGACGAAGAGCGAAGCCGACGCAGCCTTGCGTGCATGGCAATGACCATGACTGGACTATCACATTCCACGCCACCCAGCGAGCAAGATCGACGACACCAACACACTTATTTTTTTTCGAAATGGACACCCACACACATTTGTTGACAGCATCGCATCCCTATTCTTTTCAGGCAATACTTCACAGCAGCAAGAGCGTGAGAAACAGATAGAAGAGCAGATGGAATGCATTTTCTTTGGTTCATGATATTCATTGCACAGTGGCACTAATCTTCCATGTTCTTTTCTTGTATTAGAGGATTGTAAACCGATGCAAAGGATGCCAACGACATTCAAGGACCAAGTGCTTATATCAATCTTCAATTTAGCGACATTGGTTCTCATATGGCTTTTACAGTTCCGATCCATTGCAAAACAGGTGACCACCCATGACCTACATCGGATTAGCAGGCTAACCATCATAAATAAGGAATAATCGGTCTCTTCAACTACAAAATTTCCAACAACTTATACCCACATTCAAATACTTGACAAACCAGAGACAGAAATACAGGCTAACGAACAAAGAACAACACCATCTCTGCCCCATCAGGAAACTCCATCCATGTAAAACCTTTGCGCCAGCCAAGCAACGCAGCCAGTACCCATCTCACCCACACAACACCCAACATATTCTTTCAAGTGTCAAAAAAGGACGGTGGAACGCCAGAACTAAGACTTCTGGGCATGTGGACGCCAGTTCCCTCTGCAAAGCTCCTCCATAAGATGAACAAACTTTTGAGGCTGCTGCCACCACATGGGTTCCGTAGCAGCTGGCCTTTCGTACCGCTCTTGAGAGCCCTCGTTTTGCATGAATTTCTCCGAGAAACTGCGCCATTGTTGCATGGAGCGCTTCAGCCGGGCAGTTCGCTTGCCAGTAACCAGATATCTAGTGTAGTCCCTCGCAAGACGGTACAGCTCCTCCCCTCTAATAATATGGATGTACTGCACACCATTACACAAAAATACAAGTGATTTAGATTAAAGTCACGAGTGCTTAATGTTAAAGATCAAACTAAGCACAAATACACAACTATGAGACTTTGTACAGGTATAAAAGTCACTTGTTATTCCCATATTGCATGTGGAGGATGCAACCTATTCATAGGCAAGAAAATTACTTCATAAGCACATGGTACGCTTTATACATAACTAACACACAATCTTTCAATACAACCTGAACCAAGTAAGCAACCAGCAATGAACTAAAATCTTTCAATACAACCCGAACCAAACAGCGACCAGCAATTAACTAAATTTTTTCATTACAACCCGAACCAAGCAAGCGTCATGCAATGAACTAAAATATTTCAACCTGAACCAAGCAGGCAACTGGCAATGAACTAAAATCTTTCAATACAACACGAACCAAACAGCGACCAGCAGTAAACTATCTGTCAACATAAAGCGTTTGATGACTAAAACATACTCAGAGAAAACTATTTTGGTACAAATGATCGATGCTGGTTCTAATCACAAGTAAAATGCTACTCCCTCCGTTTGGAATTACTCGTCCAAAAAATGAATGTATCTAAGATGTATTTTAGTTGTAGATACATCCATTTTTGTGACAAGTAATTCCGAACGGAGGGAGTAGATGGCACGGTTATTGTTCTAAAAACTAACTATATAACAAGGAATTTCCTAAAATATAACCTAATTATTTACTGAATAGCCATTAATCATTATAACATAACTAGAAAGTGGAGCTACACTACAGTTTACAAATCAGGAGCCGTAGATGGAACGAAATAACATTCTGAAAGAAAGGATAAACACAACAAGAAAGTAGTGATAGTTACCACAAGTATAAAAGCAACAGTTGCTAAGATAACTTGGACTACTTCATCCAATGATTCCTTGAATGATTCATCTTCTGGGCCACCGGAACCACCATTACCTCCACGCCTGTTTCCATTCCCTCCACCTCCACCAGATGCTTGTTCTCTCAGCTTGGCGAATTTCTCTTTCAGCACATCTTGTAAGGGTCGTGGCTTTTTTGCATCAGCCATGGCCTTCTTCAAATGATCCATAAAGGGCTGTAGCAAGGCAACAAACAAGTTAGGCAGACTGTCCTGCTACACTCCTAATAGAAACCAAATCAAATGTATGTACATGCACCTTTCCAGCACAAATCATACAGTGCATAAATTGAGAATATAGAACTCTACTTGTGCCCCATACAGCTAACCTTTACTTCTATGACCAAGCCAGAACATGCACCTAACTAGAAACCCAGAATATTGTTTGAATATGAATACAAAACTGTGCCTGTTACAGTAACTTGGATGGTCCCACATAGGCTCTATTCTGATCAAATAAGCAATCATCAGTTTTTTTGTCAACAGAGAGATATCAGACACAAGGAAAAATAGCCTTTCGACCAACCCAGATTACACGAGTTAAATATCATAGTTTCAGGAGCATGCCATAAGCATGTTTTTGGAGAAGGTGGAGCAAGGTTGAAACAAATAATGACAGATATGTTAGTTCGCTTTGAGAAAAGAACAATAGAATTCATGACTATTTTATGGGTTCAGACACATACTCCCATCATGCATAAACAAGCATAGAGACACGGAATATGCTTACATCATTGTCAATCTCGGGGTTCCCTTTTCCACTTGAGGCGCATACAGGAGTAAGCCTTGGGTGGCTAGCAGCAACAAGAACAAGACGTGGGTAGATATGCTTATCAAGCTTGCGAAATCCGAGAGGACGTGGCCGTAGGGAATACTGGGGGACAGGTAGTAATCTGCAGGTCTTCCCAAGACCCATTATGGGTCTGTCCGCAATGAGCCCAGTATGAGGCTTGCATGTTGTAGCTTGGAAATAGCTCATGGTTTCCTTTTGCTTGAATCGCCGAATTCACCAGAAGACAAGCCTGTAGATTTACAGACAGCATGAGATTTTTCTTGAATACACGAAGATGGGTTTATCCATCAGAAGCAGAAGCAAGTACGGAACAATAAATGAGGTAGGAGCAATAAACCAATCCATGTTCTTGTATTCACCATAGTTCAATCGTACAAGTGGAAACATATTAATAAAGGGCGGTCATATGCTTGGTCTGTCACGCACTTTCTTACAAAATAGTCCCTGATCTATATGAGAATCAACCCGCAATACCAAGAAAAACGATTCGCCAAAATAAAAATAAAAAAGACTAATATTTAGCATAGCACTGCTTCGGGCCAATTCGTATATAGATACAAAGGTGTTTCGAGCCAGGATCGAACTCACAACCTAACCTCCCCGTCAACAACTGTACAGCCAACTGGGCCAGTTGTCGGTTGTGCTCTAACAGACTGTTTCGTTTGATAATTAGTAGTCCCGCCTCGCTTCCTTACACAAAATTTTCCTAACTTAAATATGTTGGGGACTTCCCTACAGAATTAAGGAGGCGCCTTGAGAATCAACAAAAATAGGTGAGTCCGGTCTGGGGAACAAAGGAATTTAACTTAGCCGGGTGGCTGCACGCTCCCTATAAGAAGAGAAGAGTCAATGATGAAACAACACGTGCTTAGTATATAAAGAGAGAGAGACCCAATACAGTGTGAAACAGACCCAAGAAGGAAACGGGCGTATTCATCAGTGCCTATGAAAGAGAGAGGCCCGATACAGAATGAAACAAGACCAAGAAACAGCGTGTGTATGTGCCTATAAAAGAGAGACCCAATAATAAAGAATGCATCGGTTATCCATGCAATGCACAGAGAGAATGCTCCTGCTCACGCATGCATTGGTGCCTATAAGAATGCTCCTCCAATCAGCGAACGCTATGCCAACGAAGACTGGGAAAAAAGACAACAGAGGTAATTAAGCCAAGCCGGGCCTAATAATAATAAATCAGGACTCATCCACTCCATGGCCCTCCGGCCATTTAGAACCCTATAAATAAATCAACGGAAATCCATGTGCTAAATTTGTACCAAGTAAGCCTAATTCATGTGCACTAACGGAAATCCACATGCTAGATTTGACAATGAAGAAATCATAATGTTGAAGAAAAAAGTGTAGCTTTATTACCAATTAATCGATTGAAAATCTAGCATAAACGCTAGCCACAATATCAACGCAGTTGTTTTCTACTAAATATAAACTAGAAATCCACGTGCTAGATTTGCACCAAGTAAGCCTAATTCGCGTGTTCTAATGGAAATCCACGTGCTAGATTTGACAATGAAGAAATCATAATGTTGAAGAAAAAAGAGTAGCTTTATTACCAATTAATCGATTGAAAATCTAGTATAAACGCTAGCCACAATATCAACGCAGTTGTTTTCTACTAAAGAGAGACTGGATTTATTAGTAGTCATAAAGATCATGTGGAGGCAGCACTGATGTCTAGCTCGACGAGATTAATTTCTAAAGCTTTAAGCATTCCCTTGCGCTAGCGCTGTTTAATTACAGGTGTGTTGCGCGATGACCGAGCTCATCATCTTAAAACTGACAGCGTTTGGATGTGTTGTCATGGGGGGGTGAGGGGTCTTGAGCCATGCTTATTGCACTAGGTCGCTAAGATATTAATTATCTCCCGTTGCAACGCACGGGCATATTTGCTAGTAAGAAGTAAAGTGGAAATACATCAAGCTGTGAATCCATTGACGGCTTCAATTTCATCAGACAATCTTGAACAGGACAATTTCTCTTCTCCAGATGGTAAACAAAAGCAAATGTGTAAGATGCTCCCTTGTGGTTTAATAACCACCTGGAGGAAACATTTAGTAGTGTGATCCCCACAATCTCAGATGTCAATTAATCCTATGATGAGTATATAATGCCAAATGCCAATCATTTAAGTTGTGCTCAGCGAAGGAACTGCCTAAGCATACTTTTGCGGATCCAAACTTCTTTGTTCTTTCAAAGTCTTCTTCTTGCATATAAGAACGCAACTCTTGCAATTACATGGATTTGAGTAGTAAGCGGCATCCCCTCTGAGTTGTGAGTAAGCGGAACCATTCTGTTTTTGTTCTTCTCCAGATTCTGGCCAGTAGGAATTTGCCTCTTCTTTTTCCAACTGATATGGCCGATAGGAATTTGCCTATGATTTTTCCAACTGATATGTCGATATAGAAAGATCTCCTTATTTCAAAACCGCGGGTTCTCGCGTCATTTTCTTTAAAAGATATCAGATCACCGTGGGAAACTTTCAAATGAGTAATGGTACAGAATTCACAACTAAACATGCACTACCTTGCTCATGCTCAAACCAACTTATGAGAAACCACATGTTAAGTGGATAAAATTATGCGTCAGGAATGATGACGCGGAAAGATTAAAAAGATATACGGACACACAGCTACAAGGATACTCTCGTCCCTTCCCATACAACAGAATGAACTTTCTCCGGGAACCCCGTCATCACAAATCACATGCGGAAACGCAGCGGGCCGGAAAGGGGGTCGTAATTGGCGGTACGAAACAGTATGTTTGTTGATGCTGAAACAGTGAGGGGTTCAGATTCCCCGCGGCAATTTATATGATCAGGTGCCTAGGGGGTGAACGACAGCGCAAGGCAGAGCATCCTAACGAACCCTAACCGAGCAGAACAAAGTGGAAGGTGCCGCTACGCACACGACGGGCAAACCAAACGGACACGAGCGCAGGGGAGCACGCGAACGCCGAAGGCGAGGGTCTCGGAGCATGCGAATACGCGAGAGGGAAAGAGGGCGGCGGAGAAGGTGTCACGGTCTCTTACCTCGAGCACCACGGCGGCGGAAGCGGAAGGCTGGACCCCGGCGGTGGGTGGAGGCGAGGCGGGGTTTCCGCGTACGAGGGGGGAACGAGAAGATGGGACGGGGAACAAGGAAGGAGGAAGGGAAAGAGGCGATTTGGATTGGGGTCCTCGTACTCGCTCGGCTCCGGCAGTTTTTTTTAGAGCACTCGGGTCGGGAAGGTTTTTTTTTTTTGAGACATACTCGGGCCGGGAAGTGGTGAGCCGTATGCCCCTATCCCAGCGCCGCGCAGTGAGAGAGTTGATCGGAGCCCACAGAAACGGGTGGGCTCCCCGCTCCGCGTAGCTGCTCGGCCCTGTTTCCTGAATCGGGGTTTTCCCCTTCTTTTTAACCGGATTTATTCTGTATTATTTTCGGGGTATTTTGGTTTTGTATTTTAAGTTTTTTACTTTTTAACCTATTAAATGGAATATTTTGAATTTTGGCCAAAAATAAAATTATTTATTATTTTAAATTTTTGGAGTATTTTTTGAAAGTCAACATTTGTTTTTCTAATTCATGAATATTTTCGAAATACGGAATAATTTAAAAATTAAAGAACATTTTATGAAAAGCCATAAACACTTTCTCAAATCTGCGAATATTTCTAAAATACTTTTTCGAACTTCGGGAACAATTTTTATAAATTCAGATTATTTTTAAATCCTAAACAATTTTTTTGACGAAAAATTCCAAATAATTTTTAAACAACCAATTAACAACAAAGAAAAAGAATAAAAAAAGGGGCACCCCGCCTCATTCATGTGCCGGCCCAAAAGCGCACGAGGGTGCTAGGGATGCGCGTTTGGTGGGTATTTTGACCCATAGGTACCCCGCCCTGATATCCCATGCTAGGCCACTTACAGCGATAACGATATGTGGCGCCTGAAGCCGATTGCACCCCGCCTCATTTTTTTTGTTCGGTTTCTGGACTGTCGT